TTGTTATTATTCTTTGTACTATTTTTGAAATAGGTCATAATTTTAAAGGTAAAATACATAGTGTTAACTAGATACTTAAGATAAATCATTTTTATGATGAATGGTATCAGAATCCATTAATTCTCCATTGGATGTTGTGATGTGGAAACTGTGTACTGAATCCTTAATTATGTATAATTGTTTCTGTGCTTTATGATTTATAAACCACATTGGCAAGCACTAAAGATTTTGCATAAGAATCTAGATTTCTGCATTAAAAAATAGAATTCTAACAAAAACTTGAATTCAAACCAAAGTACTGCCTAAATCAATAAATATGTAAATCTACCCATCTCATCAAAATATCTCAAAAGATGTTTCTAAAGATATAGAAATGACCAACAAGCATATGAAAAATGCTCAATAACACTAATCATCAGGAAAATGTAATGAGATATCACTGCCATATGTTATAAGTGCTATTATCAAAAAGTACTTGTCAAAATGATAACGAGTGCTTTTAGTATGTAGAAGAAAGGTCCTTGTAATTGTTAGGCAGGTGCTCTAGCCTTGAGCCACAAAGAAGGTAATATTTTTTGCTTGGGCCTACCTGGAACACAACTTTTCTTTACTATTTATGCTTCTTTCTGAACTAGGATCACTAGTTTTTTTTCTTTTTTTTTCTTTTTTTAAGCAATTGAGATAAAGTCTCTCAAATACCCTTTACCCCAGCTGGCCTTGAACTACAATCCTCTTGATCTCAGCATTCCTCCTTACATATATGTTGCTGGATTTGTTCTGTTAGTAATCTTTTTGAGGATTTCTGTTTCTTGGTTGATAAAAGATTCTGCTCTGTGCCTTTCATTTCTGATGATACTTTTACCTGATTTTGGTGTCAGGGAAATATGAACAGAAATAAATAACTTCTATTCTTTTTTTTTTGAGGACTTTGAAGAACTGCTGCTTATTCTTCTTTGAGTGCTTAGGATGAAGTTGTACAATCCACCTAGGCCTCAAATCATGGAGTGTTGGCTTTCAGAAACTGAGAAGAATGGGACTGTGGTATCCATGAGAACATCAGTATGAGAGAAATGACAGGTAAGATTTTCCTGGAGGAGAAAAGGAAGCTTACATAGAAATTCTATCAAGGCAATCCCTCCTGCTGCCTAGGACTCTTGCATCTTGTGGAAAGGCTCCAGATCACAGGATGACCTCATTTCTCAAGAGAGAGTCTCCAAAAGGGCAAATATTTCCAGGCTCTTAGACCAGTTAAAACTTGCTCAGAAGTGTTAGCTCTGTCAGCTTGCCCTGGGCTTTCTTCATCCATGGGTGTGTAATGCAGACTCTTTGAACATCAATAGCAGAGCTGTCCAGTTCTGGTCTTGACATGCCCTGAAGTGTTTTCTGTTATTTCAGGAAGTGTCCTACAATTCTCCAAAGTAGTTTACTTTAAATTAATTTTGGAAAAGAGCTATACACTGTTTCATATTTGCTTTGTGGTAGATGTGACAGAGGAGGCATAATGGGAATTTGTGTGTCAATGGAAAGAAAAAGAAAGCAAGAAGTTACAGATTCTAACAAGAGAAAAAACCATGGATCTGGGATATTTAGAAGTGTCCTTTTATCTGATAGAGCACTAATCTATTATGCACTAAACCTTGGGTTTGATATCTAGCATGGGAAGAATAAATATGACAAAGTTACTCTATCCTAATCACTGGTTTATTCCAATGTTTGGGCACATTAGAATAGATCCTAATAAGCATTGGTCAAGTGAAAAACAATTAATGCAATGAATCTAAGATTATGGGTACATGGGAGAGTTGACAGTATATGGTATATATTTGAAGAAGTACAAAATGGAGATTGTTAATAGGCCCAAAGGAAGTGGCAGGTATGAATATGCAGGGTATCAGATAACTCTTTGTGACTCTCTTATATCCATGTTCTTCTAAGCAGTCTTAATTTAAGATGTTTTCTCTCCTTACTCTTTTAAGGTAATCATTGTTTAGAGCTACTTTCTTTTTGTGAGTGTTCGAAAATAACCTCACTATGGAAGCAGCATAGAATGTTGCTGTGTTTAAACAGTAGTTATTGCATGTGAGCTATGACATATTCAAGAGAATAATGCACATGAATCAGAAGGTACAGATAACAGCCCTATTGAGTTGCCACATAAGTGGGATCATCATAAATATTTATAAAACACATTAAAGAATAAAATACTCTGAAGGAAAGTCAGCCAACATAGGAAAGAAGAGGAATGGTACTCCATGAACATAAGAGATTGGTATTGCTGGCCAAAGGCTAACAAGTTGGCCTTCTGTACTCATGGATTCAACTTACTGTATTGAAATTAGTTGAATAAAAAAGATTGGAGGCATGGTTAGAACACCACCAATATGCCAGAAAGCCAAGTTTGAGGCCCTGAGTTCAAATCCCAGTACCTGTACACACAAATAAAAAGAAGAAAAATATTTAAAAAATAGACTTTTCCCCCTTAACATTATCTAAATATCACAGTATAATGACTATTTAATTTTTTTATTTTTAGCTGGCATTATAATTGTAATAGGTATTGCAGACAGTGTGATCATGCAATCCAGACATAATGATCAGATCAGGGGAATGGTAGATCTATCATCTCACACCTTTATCACTTATTTATTTTTTGGGGGGGGGTCCGGTCATGGGGCCTGAACTCTGGGCCTGGGCTCTGTCCCTCAGCTCTTCAGCTCAAGGCTAGCGCTCTACCACTTGAGCCACAGCGCCACTTCCGGCTTTTTTCATTTTGCTTATGTGGTGCTGAGGAATCAAACCCAGGGACTCATGCATGCAAGGCAAGCATTCTACCACCGAGCCAACCTCCCAGCCTCTTTATCACTTATTTGTATTGGTTACATTTCAAATATTCTACCAGCCTTTTTTTTTTGTGCGAGTATTGGACTTGACATCAGCCTGGGTGCTTTGCCTTAGCTTTTTTGCTCAATGCTGGTGCTCTACCACTTGAGTCATCCCTCCATTCCAGGTTTTTTGGGGTGTTTATTGAAGATAAGAGTCTCACAAATGTCTTACTGTACTGGCTTTAAACTGTGATTCTTAGATCTCAGCCTCCTGAATAGGATTACAGGTATGGGCCACTGGTGCTTAGCTTCTATCAGCTTTTTTGAAATATGTAATTAATTATTATCAACCATAATTAGTCTACTGTGCTATTGAATATTAGAAAAGTATGACAGTTGTTTGTGTAGCAGTTATATTGCATTAAGTATTTTACACAATCTAGAGGTGATTTAAATTACACAGAAGGTTGTTTGCAAATAATATGCCATTTAGAAAATAACTTTCATTCTGAGTAGTATAGGATTTGGAATTCACAAGCCATATTGGAAATAATGATATATACAAAGAGTAAAATGTCAAATTTTATGGAAAGAATTATATAAGTGGAATTAAAGGCTGAGAAGATGCTTGCTAGCCTAAGATTAGTGTCTAAAAAACATGAACTAATGATTACATAGAATCATGAACAAACTGTATGAATGGACCAGTATGAATGGAACTATAGGAATAGATGAATTACAGAATATATAAAGCTTGAGAAAGGATGAACAACTGCATTCAGAATAGGGAGAAACAAATTTAAATAACAATGGTATGCCATCTCACATTTAGACGTCTGTTGAAAATGCACAATTTGATAATACCCATTGTTGAAAGGATGGTGGGGAGAGACTTTCTTAATTAGTACTCACATAGGCTGTGGGTATAGGGTCAGTAGTAAAGCACCAGCCCAGGGTTTGATGAAGGGTGGAGCCTAAGGTAAATGGAGGTTAGGCAAGAAGGTGAAGGAACATTCTTTCCCAGAAATGGCAAAATCTTCCAAGTCTTTCATTGATCCAAGTCCGGGAAGACAAGAAGGGGATAACTGGGGAAAAGATACAGGTGTTTCAAAGGATAGCATCATTTGCAAAATCCCAGAAGGAAGAAACCACTGAACCTGGTTTGGAAATTGCTAGAGGTTCCTGAGAGCTGAAGTGGGAAAAGATGGAGAGGAGAGTGCATCATTAGTATATGCTCCCTTGGCAAGGGCTCTAGGCCTAGCTAAGGATTTTGAATGTCTAATGGCAGTGGGAAGGGTGGATTCTTGAAGTAAAAGAGTAGCAGTTGCATTGTAAATTTCAAAAACTATGGCTCTGGAAGCAAGATAGGTAGGTGTGTGTGTCTGTGTGTGTGTGTGTGTGTGTGTGTGAAAGCAAAGAACCTGGCAACAAATAATGGGGCCTGAACAGAAATAGAGAAGAACTGAGTCCTAACTGTAGGTGTGGAAAGAATTGAGGAAATTCCTTGCCTGGGCCATCTTGAATGCATGCATGATGAAGTGACAGGGGTCGTGTTTGGTGTCATCTGATCCAGTCTTACAATTTGAACGCTTAGTTCAAATACGAAAACGTACAGAGGAGGGATTGAAGGCGAGGTTACTGCTGGTATTGACTTTTGAGTGGAGTTTATATGGTTTTCGATTTATTTCAAGAGTTTTAATTACAAAATAAAAATTGTCCTTGAAGGACATTAAGCTGTGTTTTAGTTCAGTGGGCTCACGAATGTCATTGTTATTTTTCTGTGCGTTTAGACTAAATTAAATAACTAAATGGTAAAACAAAATGCGGTGGCGAGAATAGGCAGAACTGAGGTACACGAGAGACTTTGAGCTTTGTAAAAAATGGTTTAAGCGAAAGGCAGATGAGGGAGGCGGGGTGGAACAGTGCTGCTAAGGCTCTTTGTGCGCTCAGAGAACCAGGAGACTAATTCCCTCGCGGCCCCGCCCACAAACCCGCCCTGAGCCCCTCCCACAAGCCTCGCCCCCAAGCCTCGCCCAGGAGCCCTCTGTCTACCCCAACCCCTCTTCCCTCCATGACGTTGCCTCGCGTCTCCAGGGTAACTGAGCGTTCAAACAACGCGGCCACTGTGGCGGCTGCCTGCTCATTCCCTTCCTGTTGGACCCTTGGACGTTGATAGCCATGACCCTGCCTTTGCTGCCCGGCTACAGCTTCAATCGCAATGTGAGTGGCCAGGGGATTAGAGATTAGAGGTCCTGGCCACAGCCTGAGGTTCAGGCTCCCTTGATCTTTTACCAAAGCTTCCTGCCACTGCTTCTTCTGGGACTTAGCCTTTGCCTTCCCCCTATGTCTTCAAGTGTTTTTCCTATATTAAGTACCTAAGTAGAGTAGAGGTCTTACAGGTGGCAGAGCCCTCAATAGGTAATAATAATGGTAAAATAATAATAATAATAATAACGATTGGTGTTTGATGTGTGCCAGGCTCTGTGCTTCAGTTGCCTTACACAGCATTGGATGCTCCCAACAACCCTTTCTGATAGATACTAATAGATACTGTATCTAATCAATACTATTTTTAATTCCCATTTTACAGTTGTGAATACTGAGGCACAGAGCTTAGTTTTCAGTGGTTCAGCTGATTTTCTTTCAGGCAATTTGTCTCCACAGTCCAAGCCTCAGAAGCCTGTGTGAAAGCGACATTTTATTATTAAATGGAAAAAAAATCTGGTGCAACGAGAGTGGGAGAGGTAGCACATAGGTAAGGATTTTCTCAGCCTATTCCATGTCATCCCACACTGTGGAGAAAGGCATCCAAACTTGGAGGGCAAGATGAAAGTGAACAACAACAAAACTCCTGAGCATGATAAAACTTTGGGTATGAAGTAGTATCTTATTTAAACAACAGCAGGCAAGTTATTTAGGTTATATTTTTTTATTTGAATAAAGCTAACACACAGATGGGAAAAGATTGGATGTTCAGTGCTCTCCTGTTGAGTCATCCTGTGGTAAGTTTTCTAAACTTACAAATTATGTAGGCAAATTATTTAACTTTATGAATTCTAAACAATATCTGTAAGTTTCTGGCTGGAAAGTACCAGTTTTATTTGTAACTTCAGGCTATGAAATTCTGACTCACACCTTATGGTTGTCAGTCCAACTGCCAACAATAAGTTTGTACATTTATTTTGTGGCTGATGGTTGCAGGCTGGCTTCCCAAGGATAAAAAGCATTGCTCTAAGGTAAGTGTAAGTCAGCTACACAAATAAGAAAGTCTCCTAAGAAGCATGTCATGAGAGAAGATTCCACAAGAAGCATGTTTCATAGGAATAAATTTTAAGCCGGGTACTAGTAGCTCATACCTATAATCCTAGCTACTCAGGCTGATATCTGAGGATACTCAAATTCAGCCCAGGCAGGGAGGGAAGTTTGTGAGACTCTTATTTCCAACTCATCACCAAAAAGCCAAAAGTAGAGCCATGGCTTAAGTAGTAGAGTACCAGCCTTGAGTGAAAAAGCTCCAACACCAGAACAAACAAGCCAACCCCCCCACCTAACCTTCTCACTACAATTAGATCTGGCTTGTTTTTGAACCTTTTATCCATGGAAATTCGTGATGTTTATTTTTTTGTAACTGACTTTTTAGTTGAACATTATGTTCATAAGATTTGTCCATGAGGTTGTCTGTAGTGGTAGCTAGTATAGTTTCATTGCCGTGGAGTGTTCCAGTATATGATCACACACACCCATGTTTTTTGTGGTTACTAGTGTTGAACTCAGAGCCTGTGTTTGCTCTGCAAACACTCTACCACTTGAGCCATGTCCCTCAGCCCTCATTTGTTTGTCTCAGAGAGAGAGAGAGAAAGTTCACATAATGAAATTAAACCTTAATCATTTTTAAGAATATGCAATTTAGGGGCTGGGAAGGTGGCTCAGTGGTAGAGTGCTTGCCTTGCATGCCTGAGGCCCTGGGTTCGATTCCTTAGCACCACATAAGCAAAAAGAAAAAAGCCGGAAGTGGTGTTGGGACAGCACCCAGGCCCAGAGTTCAGGCCCCACGACCGGACCCCCCCCCCCCAAAAAAAAAGAATATGCAATTTAATGAGGCTTAGTATTTTATTATTGCCTCTAAGTAGTATGAAGACATTTTTCATCACTGCAAATCTCAATCTTGTTACCCTGGCGGAATCTGGGAAATGGTTTTCAGGTCTCAGGGAACACCTGCGTTAAAAATAGTATTTACTACCTATGCTCCATGAGTTGTAGTTATAACTACCATGATTTTCTAGTAATTGTCTTATTTTGTTTGTTTTGAGACAGAGTCATGCTGTCTTGCCTAGGCTAGCCTCAAACTCTTAATCGGGCTGCCTCAGCCTCTCTAGTATACATTTATATGTTTCCACCACCACAGCCAGCTAGTAAATATATATATATGTATATGTGTGTGTATGTATATATATATATATATATATATATATATATAGATGTTCTGGGTTTTGAACTCAGGATTTCATACTTATACTTATTAAACAGGCACTCTACAGCTTCAGCCTACCTCTAGTCATAATTATGTGGTGGGTTTTTTTTTTGAGTAAAGAATGACAATTTTCTGGACTGGACTAGTGTTACAGCTCAGTGGAAGAGCATTTGCCTAGTATGCACTTGCTCCTAAGTTCCATCCATAATTGAAGAGGAGTGAGGCTATGAATCTTTGAATTTGATTCAATATTCACCTGCTCTTTCCCTTTCCCACAAGGTTTTCTATGACCTCTAAAGCAAGTGCATTATCTCAGAGGGAACTTCAGGTTATTTTTTCTTATTATAAAATTCCCTACTTCATTTTTTTCTCCTTTTCCTTAGGCATTAAGCCGAAAACTACTCTCATAGTTTATATCACAGAGTTGCTAATGAGGAATGATAATAGGGTATATGGTATGAATAAGAGCAGTTTTCTTCCCTATTTAAAATAATGGATTTTAGAGCCAGATTTTTTTTGGCCAGAACTGGGAGCTTGAACTCAGGGCCTGAGCTCTATCCCTGAGCTTATTTGTGTGCTCAAGGCTAGTGTTCTACCTCTTGAGCCATAGCTTTTGTGGTCAGCTGGAGATAAGAGTCTCATAAACTTTACTGCCCAGACTGGGAGGAAATCCCAACATCTGCCTGGGAATGGTAGCACATACCTGTAATCCTAGCTATGTGGGAGTTTGAGGTTTGAAGATCACAATTTAAAGCCGACCTGACAAATAAATCTAAGAGACTTTTAACTTCAATTAACTAGCCAGAAGTAAATGTATATCTCAAGTGGTGGAGTACCATCTGTGAGCAGGAAAATGCCAAATAAGGGTGTGGGATCCTGAGTTCAAGCTCCAACACCAGAACAAACAAGCCAACCCCCCCACCTAACCTTCCAAATCATCATAATACATTTATAATACATTTCTGGTAAATGTTATGATTATTGTTTCAGTCTTTATCTAAGGTGGGATTTATTTTTTTTAAAGTAGATTGGATTGATATAACTAAAGGTTTTATCCTAGTTAAGCTATTTACAACAGAAAATACCTTGATAGTGCTAAATAGCAAGTCTTCTAAAACAATCTGACAAATATGAATAAATACATACCTTAATACAGTTCTATACAAAATTTCAAAGGTAAGTTTTTATTAGTGGACATGATCAGACTCACATAGGCAGTTACAAGATTAAAATATATGAACATCCATATGTAAGACTGTTACTTCATAAAAATACCATGAAAAGAATAACATTTATCTCTCCAGTGTGAAACTATGCTTGTATTTTTCCATGGAAATATCAGTTGTGGATCAGAATTGAGATAAGGACCCAGTGATTTCATTTTCAACTGAAATTAATTTCTGGCCTTAGGAAAGCTTTGCTTACACACAGATAACATTGAAAACTGCAGGCAAATAGTTATTTCTTTCCTGTGGATGGCAGAATACTTGACTTTCACAAAATCCTAACTGCCCATATGGCAGAAGGATGCTTAACTTTGAAAGAAATCGCCTACTGTCTTTCACTTTGCCTTCCCACCACCAATGAATGAGTTCCTGTTATTCAGAATTCTTCTGAGCAATTAATGATGTTCATATGTTTAGTTTTGAGTTGTTTTAATAGATGTGTAGTGTATCCTATTTTGATTTTGATTTCTATGACCCTAGTGGCTATGATGTTGAACATCTTTTTATGGGCTCCTTTAATTAATTAATTAGGGCCATTTTGGTACCATCTCTATTCAGAAATGTTTGTCCATGTATTTAATTGGGCTCCTTCCTTATTGTTGAGTTTCCAAAAATTATTCTGGCTGGAAGTCCATTGTTGGTTAAAGAAGACTGTGAATTACTTCTCCATTTGTGGCTTGAATATATAATAAATTCTTAATTATAAAATCAGAAAATAATCTGATTAAAATGGTGAAAGGCTTTGAATAGACATTTCTTCAACAAAACATATAGTCAATAAATACATTGAAATATATTTAATATCACTTTGTTCCCACATATTAATACCATATATGTGATGTGATATGAGAGAATTAATTTGGCTTAAATCAGTGTCTTATTTGTTTTAAAAATCTTGAGTCACAAGGACATTGACACACTTTACTTGCTCTATCTTATGATAAATAAAATATATTTCCAGATATTTCTTTCCTAACAGTGACATTCTAATAGTAATGGCATTATTATTAGCAATCTGAGAGGTTATTTTATTCTTTCTTTTTGGGCAGGGGGAGCTCTATACTGAGATTTGAACTTGCTTGGCTGTTACTATACTGCTTGAGCCATGCTACCGGGCCTGCTTTTTATTGGTTATTTTTATTGGTTATTTTTGGAGATGGGGTCTCAATGACTTTTCTGCGTGCGCTACTGGAGTAGCTGGGATTACTGGGATGAGCAACATCCAGCACAACATGAGTTTTAAAAACAGTTTAAGATGTTTTTTGTGATTCTTGCTTTTTAGATATATCCCACTAGGAATGTATTATCAACATACTAGATTTTATGTATGTGTGTATTTTGTCTTTTTCTAGTACTGGGGTTCAAGCCCAGTACCTCCCACATGTTAAGCAAACACTCTATCACTGGGCTCTATTGCCATATCACTGGGTTTAATTTCATTTAAATGAGTATAGTTACATAACCAAGTCCATCCCCAGTTTCCTTCATTCATTTCATTTGGTTCTTCCTTCTTTAGCAGCACT